TGGGGCTTCAGAGGAAGGTTATTGGGAGATGATGGTAAGAACATGTTTAGTCATTAGTAGTTTGCCCTGCCATATAGATAGGTCAGAAAGGTATCTGATAACTCTTATTATGGGGAAGACCCTTAATTTAAATCCTTCTGAGAGAGGGCATGAAAAGTTTCTCTGGAGCCTGCAGTATGTCAGTTGCCTTTAGTGTAAAATACCACAGAGGCACATCTTTGGGTGACTCATTCTGAACCCCTACAAAGGTAACAGGAATGGGAGGGAGACATTATTATTTATCTTTTTATATTTTTTTGATTGTAGAACCATGTGACTGTATTTTAAATTATATTTTATAAAAGTAACAATAAAAAAGGATAAAGTGTTTTTAAAAAATAAATGACTATCCAGTGACGAATTCTAAATTTTAAAATGACTGGGGGAGATAGGACAAGTTAACTTACTCTCATTCAGAGTTGCAGACTCGCTACCTAGAATGTAAATTGAGACAGAATCGGATACAAATTATTTTTCTTCAAATCCCACTGTTAACTTTAGTAGGCAGAAGATGGAAACCTTCCTCTGTTAGGACAGGAATCCAGTGAGAGGGCGCTGAAAGGTCAGCTCCCAAGGAGGCAGGAGTTGTACAGACCAGTTGATGGGACTGACAGCCCTTTAAGCAAGAATTGGAGGGCAAGGAAGAAGAAAATTTACCATAAAAACTGAAAGATCCAACTGAACAACTCACCCACCCCAGTGAGTACATAATACAAGTCACTCACAAAGCATTCTGAGAAGCCAAACCGGTGTGTGTATGTGATTAAAAAAAATTTTATTCAAAATTTTCAAAGCTCTGGATTTACCAGAAATCAAGGAACCAATACTATTTCAGCATTTAGATTTTTAAAACATATGTTTTCTAACTTTAAAAGATTCTTTTTTAAAAAAAGCAACAAAACAAAACTGTGTATCATGCAAAAGCCAGCTTACTATTAATAAAAGATATCTAGTTAACTAGATAAAGGCAGAGCCAGCATCAGTCGACTAATGACTTTCTAAAGTCATTTTTATGGTAATGACTTTCTAAAGGGTCAGGACAGACTGTGTTTAAACTTGTGAGTTGCTGCCTCCAGAAGGGAATGTCTGCAGCACAAAGCCAGTGATTCAGAGTCCCAGGAATTGGAGCTGGCCTTCTGACAGCACACCCTGCTAGGTGTTCTCATGTAGGGATGGGAGAACAGACCCCTTGCTGTAGATCTCACAAGGCCAGTACTGTAGGCACTGGTACATTGTATAATGTCTTCATTATATCACTGGTTATATTAAATGGCTCAGATGAGTTTTACAAGAAAACTTGCTGCATAAATCATCTACCTGGAGGTGTCTCTTAATAAGCATTGCCAACTAAATAAGAAGCATTTTTAGGCTGTTGGCTTGGCCTCTCCAGAGTTGTTTATCTTTTCTGGGCCACTCTGTGGACCACAAAGAGTGATTCGCAAACCCTGAATTATTCTTTCCACATGGAGACAGTTCCCTTCTCCTTCCGGGACCTCGGTATTCCATAGATAAAACAGGAAGGTTGGATCAGTTATTGTTTAGTTATGAATGATGAGCTCTTTCTCTTTGTGTATTGTTTGATTGACAAAGTAATGTTTTTACCCATTCTACCTTTGAGAATATTTCTTTTTCAAATAAAAGTGACTTGGTAAGCTGGAGTATGTAGTTTTGCCATGATACATAGGTTTTCCATAGGTGGCAGAGCCTAGCAAGCAGAGCAGAGGTAGTGAAGATACCTGGGTTCCGATTCCTTGTCTGAGCTAGGAGCACAAGGGAGAGCAGGAAAAGTTGTGGCAAATGGTTACAATAGTGCAGAAAATAGGGTAGGGTGTACCCTAGGACCACTTTCCCAAGGTAGGCAGGAAACCCATTCAGATCATTTGCACCACTGACATTCTCTTCTGTTTTAGCTAGGTTCCTAGCAGTTTACTTTCTAGGATAAGGTTTCAGGGGTTTTTTACATAGTTTTTTGGGGAAAAGAATTTTCAAAATAGAATTATATCACTCATCAACCTTCTTCTTTAATATGAAGTCCAAAGACTAAGTGGTTTGTTTATTTTTAGACTTTATACTAAGGGAGATACCAAAACACTTAAGAAAATGTCCCAGTCATGATTTGGAATTTATTTCACATCTCAAGTAAATTGGCGACTCTTTTCTTAGCAAATATTCCTGGGAGTAAGAATGGTTGTATCTTAGACTGAAGTGCACATTGAAATTATTTCATGCTTTTCACTAGATTAGGGGTGGTGAATTGGTGCTGTTATCTTGTGCTCCTTGCAGATACTGCCATGTAGTCATAGCACTTTTTGCTAAACCTAGACATAGCCTGAGACTGTTCACCAAGACAGTGGTCCAGACAGCCAAAATCAGTTGATTAGAGTTGGTACATAAGACAAATCTGATTATATCCCTGGACTAGATTTCATTGATTGTGTTATTGATTATGTAGTGTTTGATGCCCCATCTTACTTGCTTTCTCAATTTCTTTAACTGAAGCAACTAAAGAACACTTTTTAAAATTATACCTTTTTCAAAATATTTTTATTTAAATAAAAGTCTCATTCAAACAAATGCCTAGTTTTAGGAAGTCCATATAACCCATTTGTCCATTGGTTATGCCACATTCTTTTCATGCCTGTGGTGTGTATTTCCTTCATCCAAAACAGAAGAAAAGCCTAAGAAAGCATCTTTGTATATTCAATCTGCACTCACAGCCACCACTCAGCCAATATTGAAGATTGCAGGCCTTGTGGCAGAGAGCCCATCTAGTTCTGTGTCGCACAGAATGAATAAGCAGGTTATTTTCTTTAGTCTTCTCTAGAGGCAGAAGTTTTGTTTTGTTTTAAAAGTTTTTGGGGTTTTTTTTTTCCTGATTAACAATGTACATGTTCACTGTGAACTTCTGTCTTAGGGGGGAGAAAAATTCGCTTGCAAATTTGTCACTGAGAGATAATAGTGGTGGAAGTTTAAGTCAATAATAATCTCTTCTGTATGTAAATTTTGTGCACATTTAAAGTGTCATGGTCAGATAATATTCCAGTGAGAGAGAGAGAGTGTGTATGTGAGTGCATGTGCATAACTTCTTTATCCATTCACTGGCAGTTGGACACTTAGGTTGTTACCATATCTTGACTACTATGAATAAGCTGCAGTGAATATGGCAGTGCTGGTATCTCTTCAAGATCCTGATTTCATTTCCTTTGGATAAATACCCAGAAGTGGAATTGCTGGATCATGAGGTAGTCCTCGTTTTGGTTCTTTGAGGAACCTCTATACTGTTTTCCATTGAGGTTGTACCAATTTACATTCCTACCAACAACATACAAGCGTTCCCTTTTCTCCACCCTTGCTATACTTGTTATCTCTTGTCTTTTTGATAATGACCATTCTAACAGGTGTGAAGTGATAGCACAGTGTGCTTTTGATTTGCATTTCCCTGATGATTAATGATGTTGAGCACCTTTTCATCTATCTGTTGTCCATTTATATATATGTCTTTGGGAAAATGCCTATGTAGTTCCTCTGCCTGTTTTTTAATTGGGTTATTTTTTTTGCTGTTGAGTTATATGAGTTTCTTACAGATTTTGGATATTAACCCCTTATCAGATATGTGGTTTGCAGATATTTTTTCCCATTCAGTAGGTTGCCTTCTCATTCTGTTGATGGTTTCTTTACTGTGCAGCAGCTGTTTAGTTTGATATGTTTCTTCTTATTTACTTTTTGCTTTTGTTGTTTGTGCTCTTGGTATCATATCCAAAAAATTATTATTAAAACCAGTGTGATGGACCTTTCCCCTCTATATTTTAGGAGTTTTATTGTTTGAGGCTAAAATTTCTTTATCATGATTGTAATAGTGGTTACATGACTATATACATTTATCAAGACTTATGCACTTATAATTGGTATATTTTATTTTTTAAATATTATGCCTCAACAAAGAAAGAACCGTAAACACACTGAATGTTTACTGTCAAGTGCTGTGTTAGGAATATGATTAGATAAATGTGATATGGGTCCTCTCTCCGGGCAGCTCACAGTCTGTGGAGTTGGTGTAGAAAGACACAGTTCAGAGACATAAAAGCCCTGTAGAGAAGTATATCTGCTGAGGCACAAAGAAAGGTGTTCTTGGGTAGGGAAAGTCCACAAAGGAGGTACTTGACCTTAGTGTGATAGGTGAACAGAAGCTAGGTAAGTGCTGAGGGGAAGGGCATTCCAGGCAAGGGCACGTGAGTGTAAAACTGCATGTCATGTTTTATAAACCACAAGGAGCCCGGTATTGCAGGAGCCCTGGAGCTGTGAGATTATGTGCATGTGGTTAGAGTAGAAGCTGGACTGGCTGGCAGAGAAGTGAAAGATGAAATGTTTCTCAAATTTGCTTATCAGATTCATATTGCAAGAGAAATTACGTACTTGAGAGAGAAACCCTCTGTCTTGGATGAGAGATGAGATGATCAATGTTCCCATTTATGTCTCTCCATTCTGTTGCTTTTGGCTTAAAAACAAAACAACAAAAATCCTTGCTTTTACAATCAACTGTTTTAAAATAGTAATTCTCCCTGGACAGACCTCCGCTGAATTTGTGTAACTAAGGCTGTACTTGAGCTTTCACATGTTATGGAGGGAGTATGTTTTAATGTTTGAGAAGGCCTTTGATAATAGCCATCTGGGAGAACTGAGATTTGCCTCATGTGGTTTGTGCCTTCAAGCAAATGACCAGTTTCTTTGTACCAACAGGGAGAAGTACAAAATCTCTCCCACATTACATTTTGGAAAGGAGAAACCTTCTGTAACTGCTTAATGATTCAGTTCCATATGAAATTCTTGAACATCAGCCTCTATCCTTGGAGGGACGCAGGGAAATGTGTGTATACGTGGTGGGAGCAAGCACACAGGATTTTGATTAACTAATAGGACAGCTGATTTTGCTCTAAAATCGAATGCTTTGTTGTATATTACAGGCAATGGATTTTGAAGGCTGGGCCGACACCCTCTTTCTTCTGCAGTTCACCCTCTCTTGTGTAATGGGGTAAGCCTCTGCTGCCTTGTTAGCAGGTAGTTTTACTAGAGAAATGTGTTCTCGGCTCCTTTTGCATCTTTCCTCAGTATCCTGTTTTGTCTCTTAGTGTATCAGCTTAGGATAAGTAAGCCTCCAGATTCACATGGTTTCACAGCCCTTGGGAATGTGTCTTCAGGGTAACTAAACTAATCCCAAAGTCATGCTTAGAAGGATAGAGAAAAACTAACATTTACCCAATAACATAGTAGGTGGTAAGCACCGTTATTTTCAACATTATTTTTCACCATATAGTTCATGCATTATTTTATTTTTGCGTTGACCATTTGGGAGATATTGTTGTCCTTTTACCTATGAGAAAGCAGGCTCAGAACTCAGGTAGGTTGAGTTTGCACAGTTAGTAGGTAGCAGTGCCAACCCTTGAATTTGGGGGGACTGTTTGACTCCTCACTACCTGGGTGTCTTCCTCTTAGAAGAGTGTATGTAGAAGGCTGGAGGGTACCTGCAAATGTGTCTCTTCACCTCCTTGTTTCCCTAACACATTTTTCCTCAACTAGTTAGTTCAGTTGATATTTGTGACTGAACCTGGTACAGGCTAGGTACATAGTGAGCTTCAAAATAAACTTGACATTGTGCCTTAGTACTGAGGTCTTTGTGCTCAGAAGCCTCATTATAAAGCTGGGAGTTCCACCTGCTGCCACTTAGTTGTTAAGTGAACCTATAGCCCTTCTTAAAGTAGTTCTAATTTGGGTTTCTTCTATCCATAAGAATCTCTCTTGTTTCATCCTGGTCCAGAAGTCATGTTGTCCTGATGGGAGGTGCGCATCTGAGCCAGGATCTGTGAGCGCTGAGCTTTGTCTGGATTAAGTGAATTAGTAGGAATATGATCTAAACAGAGTGCTTATGATTATGAATGATGGTTTCAAGGTTTTGGTGAAGGTAGCTGGGAAAAACACCTGATCAGTAAATGGACGTGTGTTTCTTTTTAATGAAATTTTAAAAAATCTGAAGTGGTGGTACAAGTAGCAGTGAAGTAGGGAAAGCTCAGTCAATGACTAGAACATGCTAGAATGGCCAACACTGGTTGTTTTCTTGGGTAATGATCATTGTAAAGTAAGCAACTGGATCTTACTCATCAGATACCTATTCCTTCTTCGTTTCAGGTTTATCTTGATGTATGCCACAGTGCTCTGCACTCAGTATAATTCTGCTCTTACAACTACAATAGTTGGCTGTATTAAGGTGAGTTGAAAAAATACTGTTATCTTTTGAGTACCTGCTTTATTTGAAAATGATTCCTCTAAAATAAGTCTGGCTATGGCTTTAAGCCCCATAATCCTTATTTCCTCACATATATATTTTTTTCTCAATAGTTTGACAAGTTGTGGTGATGGTTCTCTGACACAGTCTTGAAGAACTCAGGGAAGACATAATCTCTGCTTTCAGGCAGTTTAGCTCTGAGGAGTATGAGAAAGGGGAGTATGGAATCTTAGAGTAGAGAAAGAAGAGTTTGGCCTGTTTCTGACAAGGCAGATGGTGAGCTCAGTAGTGAGAGGCCTGTCTCTGTAACCCCTGGTGGGAACTGTTCTGTTCTCTGCCTCACTGAGTTCTGGCTGTTTTGTAGGGGAAGGATGCCTGCCAGAACTAATCAAGGGAGTTTTCCTATGTGTCAGCCAAACCTTAAATGGCCCACTTTTAAAACCCGTGTCTGACATTTCCAGTGATATCATTTCCTCCTGACCATTTTACTTGAGGGAGGCTCATTTGTCTTCAGCCTGGAGGGTCAAGTTGACTTGAATATTGAGCTGAAGTCTGTGGCTTGAAGCCTGAGGCCTCTTTCATCTGACTTTGTAATTCTAGTACTTGAAGATCCAAGAGGCCACAGCTTGCCTGAATTACAAATGAATTAGCAAGATAGGCTTGCTTTCTAAAAAAGGTAAAGCCTAGAGAAGTAGATCCTAGGTCACTTGGGGAAAGAGTGCAGTTGCCCTTGGGAGCTCCTTTATGGTGCCCTGTTTGTCAAAAAGTGAGGGAAGTAGTTGCAGAGGTAAAGTTTTTACTGCTTTGCTGTGTTTCCCTTTGCACCCCCAATGGCGTGGTGTCCACATGAAACCACCCATTTAGAAACTAGGTTTGGGTTAAAACTTCAGAAGGTTTGTGACTTCATATCATGGAATTGGAGTGTTTGGTGTGAATAGAATTTTTTTTTTAAATATATCTTTATTGATTTCAGAGAGAGGCAAGGAGAGGGGGAGAGAGAGAGAGAGAAACATCAATGATGAGAGAGTTATTGATCGGCCGCCTCCTGCACACCCCCAACCGAGGATCGAGCCCGCAACCCGGGCATGTGCCCTGACTGGGAATTGAACCTCGATGGCCTGGATCCGAGGTCGAAGCTCAACCGCTGAGCCACGCCTGGCCGGGCTAGAATTCTAAATTAAGCTATAACAATCAGCTGTTTGAATTCCCTTGAAATCTAGAGACAGTTAATCTACACTCAAAGGTCTGTTTGTCTGATGTGGTTTTAGCCCCCAGAATTATCTCTCAGCTCTGTTTCTGTTTTGTAAAGTAAATCTTTTAAGAGCAAAGTGGATGGCTTGCATCTTCAGAATAAGAACAGGGCAGTTGGTACCATGTTTTTAGCCAAAAAGAAGGATGGTACAGGAAAGCCTGTGTTTAATTTTAGTAACAAAACTTATTTGCTAAATATTTCTTAGTGTACTTTCTTTATCATGATCAGCATGGGGTACAAATACAGTCATGCTCTCGTTAACATAAAGTCCAGTGCTTTTGATATTTCCTTCTCAGCACAGAACCCTATGGACTTAGTCCAAAGGGATCAGTTTTGTTTACAAGCTGTAGGGAGAGGGAAAAATTGGATTATCTGATTAATTTACAATTGCTGTTGCTTCTTACTGCCCTGTGGTATTTCTGTTGAAGGTGTTATACTGTCTGGCAGATGGGAGTACACGGAAGCTCTTGCTGTTTCAGTCTCATGGGTGACAGTGGAGCTTCTCTCATTAGCCTCTCAGTCATACCCTTTAGCTCAATCGTTGTTCCTCAAGGGGTTTTAAGCTGACTTCTGTGCTTGAAGATCCCAACCCCATAAACCCTTGGGCGAGCATTCCTTGTTTCTTAAGTGTGGTAGGAAAATTACTTAGGATAACTAATTAAAAATGGAAATTCCTAGGCCCACCTCAAATATACTGAATCAGAATCTCTAAAGTAGGGCCTGGAAATTATTGTCTTTAACAAGGTTTCCAAATAAGTCTCAGGTATTACTAAATTTTGAGAATTAGTTTTGAACTACCAGACTCTTTAGTACTTCCTGGTTGGTTCTGCTTTGGGGGCATTGGTGTCTTTTCCTGATAGCAAACCCTTGTTAGGTTGGCCTAATGTATGCTTAAGAGTTTTCCTAACTTCTGATTGGTTTTACACAATAAGGATTGGGTTCTCTGTCTTTTCCCTTTCTCAAGTTTCTTGGGCAATTATGCAAATTAACCTACCTTCTCCCTGGATCTTTGGATCTCTGTATTCTAAGAGAGGTCCGTTAAACATTTTCCCCAGTTGCCTACCGTTACATGGTATTTCATCCCCCCCCCCAACTCAAATAATTAAGAAGATCTCCTCTGAAGTAACTTGCTCTCTCAATCCTTGGACTTAGAAGAGGCTGACATAATTTTGAATGCTCAAAGGGCACTCCATTTAAATATAATTTTGAAGTTTGTTTTTGGCCTTTTAAAAACACTCTAGCTGCCCTGGCCAGTTTGGCTCAGTGGTTAGAGTGTTGACCTGCGGACTGGAGGGTCCCAGGTTTGATTACAGCATGTACCTCAGTTGTAGGCTCCATCCCCAGCCCTGGTGGGGAGGCAGTCTCTCTCAGGTAGATGTTTCCCTCTCTCTCCCTCCCTCGCCACTAC